GCATGGAGCACTGGGTGTTATGCACAAACAATGAATCATGGAACACTTCATCTAGAACTAATGATGTAATGTATGGGGATTAACATAAGAATAAAAACAAAACAAAACAAACAAACAAACAAAAAAAAAGAGTAACTTAGATGTGTAACATACCAGCTATCCTAGATTCATATATTTCAATATTAAAAACATTTGAATTTTTATTTACCTTGAACAAATTTGACACAATGATTGAAGAGAAACACTGGGCATGTAGGTTAAGGCAGCATTGTAACACAACAAAAGGAATGTTAATACTTCAAACCTAAAGACAAACCAAAAGAATATTTACAAATCTTTAGAATTCTAAGAAGTCAACCATAATTAGGCAGGCATTATGTAAAGATATTATGTTCTAGAATAGACCCATACAATATAACCATATCAATAACAATACAAAACTAAAAAGAAAAAAAAAAAGACTTCTCAAATCACAGTCATCTGAAAATTATCTTAAAAATTCAATGTTCCAGATAACATCTGAATCAAAGTATAAAGTAACAAATCGTGAAAATGTGTTTTTCTCTTGTATAAAATGACCAAATATTTTTTTAAGTGTTACATACAGCTCATTAAACATTATTTATAAATCTACCGAAATAATTTTTTAAAAAATCAGCATGGTAGGATAGTAGGTTATGTCTCCACAGTATACCTATTCTGTGCTGTCAGCATCTCCCTTTGGGGGTGAGGTCCACTGTACACAACTTTTGACAAACCATGCTGGGATAGTGCACTCTCAGTCAGAGCCATGGACCCAATGCTGGAAGGCTAGAGACATTTGAATAAAGAAGAAAAAGCCATTCTATTGAAAATGTGATATTAAGAATATATAAACCACTAAGAACGATTGCCATGAACATCATATATCTTAAAAATATTGTGACTGTGTACTAAATTTTCTGCTCAAAGATTTAACAATTAATTAAAAACCAAACCACAAGTGGAAATAAAATTAGTTTAACTTCAAAAATTCTACACCAATACTGGATAATGTATGGAATTGTTGAATCACTATATTGTACATACATAACACTGTATGTAAACTATACTGGAATTAAAATAAGAACTTAAAAAAGTTCTACCTCAGAAATAATAATTGTCACATACAAAAATATTAGACTAGTTTTATCCATCAGAAGGAGAGAAAAATATTTCAAAATGAGTATTTTCAATAGATTTCTTAAACAATCAGATTTTAAAGTTTTATGATTCTGATTTCTCATTTCACTTTGGGAATAGTAAATACCTTGCCTGGTGTTTTATACTTTTTCAGGTACTAATAAATTAATAAACTTTGGGGGGATCTAAATAACCAGACCCTAATTTATAGCAACTTCAAATCTTAGAACCAAAGTATTTACCTTGATAAAATGTCACTTACTTCATGATATACAGATGGTTTGGATAAAGATGGAATCGTAAAACTCAATACTTTGCTATGTCCCTGTTTGTCAACTATTTCCTATAAAAGTGAAAAAAAATCTTAAAATATTTATTTTTTACACATAAGTTTAAAAGCTAACTATAAACTGTTAGTCTAAAAAAATGACCTGAAAGGAAAGAAATTTTAAAGTCAACTAAAATCATAAACTATGATAATCAATTATCAATTATTTATAAATACCAGGAGTTAACCTTCCTCTTTAAAATATAAGTAACATAGGATAGTTGAAAGAGATGTGTAGTGTCTTAATAATCACTGGTTTTCCTTATGTAAAAAGTTATATTTTCTAAATCAATTAACATAGTTATGAAATATGTCAAGAAAAGGCCCTTAAATTTCTTTTCCTTTTTAAAAAGTACAAACCTTAAATATCTAGAATACCATACTAATCAATATACAAAGAGTAATCAAAACTATCTGTTAAATCAATGGTATGAATTCTGGAGACAGTTCAGATTTTATGAAATTATTAGTGGTATCTATCAGACTAGATCTTTTCTCCCAAGTTTTTTGTGAAGGTCACTAAAAGACAATTTATAGACAACAGATTTTAAATTTGAAAAATTTTAAATTCAACACTGATATTTTTAGATACCTCTATAAAAGAACCAAAATGGTCTGATTTTCAGTTTTCAACCAATCCAAAAAGGTATATTTACATAATTATATGTATGCCTGTGTGGCCTTCAACCTCCACAAAGTTATTTTTTAGGAGAATGAGCTATGTACCATTTGATGTATGAAAAACAAATATTAGCTTTACTAAAATAAAAGTAGTTGATATTATGTATTCACTTTTGCTGAAAAGGTTATATATTTGCTCTCGGCAAACATTTGTTAACTGCATTAAATACAAACCAAATTGTAAACCCCTAGAAGAAGAGCTTCAATACATCCACTGCTATGCACATTTCTGCTGGCTGAGACCGCAAGGTAGCACCAAATCAATTCTGGAAGAAACTGCAGTGTAAATCGAAGCAACCGCTCTTCTCCACTGCGATAGAATTCAAAGAGCTGGTGACAGACAGGTTCTAGCAACTGGAAAAAAGACGAAGTAGGTGTAGTAAAAGTTACACTTCAATAAACATTAAGCCAAACTAGGCTTTCCTATTGAAAAATTATCTAACTTCTGGGCGCCTGGGTGACTCAGTTGTTAAGCATCTGCATTTGGCTCAGGTCGTGATCCCAGGGTCCTGGAATCGAGCCCTGAGTCAGGCTCCCTGCTCTGTGGGAGGCCTGCTTCTCCCTCCCCAACTCCTCCTGCTTGTGTCCCCTCTTCCTGCTGTGTCTCTCTGTCAAATAAATAAATAAAATCTTTAAAAAAAAAGAAAAGAGAAAAATTATCTAACTTCTGACAGTTAAGGAATATTTTTTTCACTCCCATAATGGTTGTCAGAGGGCAACAGATGTCTACTGTGGCATGGCAAGGGTAATAGGAAAGTGGATGGCTAGAGGCAAAGTAACCCCATTCACAGATAACAAGAGCTGTTTTTAAAGTAGGAATTTGGAATAACTGGGTTGGGGGTGGTAGGAAAAAAGAAAAACTGGCAGGGAAATGGTCGGCTTTCAGAGTAGAGTCTTAAAAATTTCTTTGTGGACCAATGTCAGCAATCTTGTATTGTTGTATAACAACCCTAATCTTTAAATACCTGGGAAAACTTTGGTTAAATCAATTGATATAAGTTAACAAGTATTTGCGAAATTATGAAATCTTATGTTGAAAATTTATTCAATAGTCTTCCTGAAACATAATCAATTTTAATCAAAACACCCTCAAAAGGTCGTATAACCAATTTAAAATCCAAAATTTAAAAAAATTAGAAGAGTTTTTGCTTTATGAAAACAGAACCAAATGAAGACAGCTTCAAAGGGGTGGAGAAATCATTATGTTATGATAAGGTTAGATGACATTATGCATGTCAAACCAAGAGAGAGAAATACCAGTATCTGTGTGGTGTTTTATAACTTGCCAAGTACTTTCAAAGTACTTGAACTGTTCAATTCCCACACCATTGTAGGGTAGAATATCATTATCCATACTTCTTACATAAGGAAATTGAGACAAAGAGGCTATCTACTATGGCCAAAATTATGCAGCTCACAGAGGTCAGAACTGGAACTAACATGTTTTGACTCCTTTACAAACATACCTGAAAAATATCAGAAAAGCAATGAAAAATATATCACGTAGGAAATACAGGCAGTATTTGACTTATCTAACTTGAATATATTTGAGACAAACAATGGAGCATTAGAACATGTTGTGTTACTAGTGTTTGATTTGAATTTTTGTATGTATTTTCTCATTGACATATTTGGTGGGTAGATTTTACAGTACTGTTAAGAGAGAACTGCTTCTTAAATATATTTTCAGGTATTAAATGGGTTTTTTATGGGTCTAATGAGAACCTAATCATCATATACCTTCTTTCCATTCTAAAATACATTCTGGATTCTAAAACAAGTAAGTTACAAATAAACTTTTACAAAAATCCATTTGTAAATAAGAAGTCTTTATCCTAAGAGAGAAATGTGACATAAAATTGCCTTTGAATGACTAAAGCAGGGATAGAAGTTGGGGAAGAGTTAAGTTTGCATAAATTTACAAGAAAATATTGCAAGTTAATTTTTTTACATTGAACTTTACTGAGGAACATAAGTAGGAAAAAGATACAGAAAAGTTGGAAGGACACCACTATTTAGGTGCCAGTACCCACTGAATGACCTCTCCATGCTCTGGGCTCCCTATGCCTAGAATACCAAAGAGACTTTATGTGGCTCTTTCACAAACAGCTGGTTTCATAACACACTTGAGCTCTGTTAGCCTCTAATCATATGCCTGTCTTAAAGTTACAGTCAATTAAAAGGACAAGTCAAGCAAACTGCATTGTACCCATAAACTGCCTCTACAATTTCTTGAACATACCACACATTTTCTATCTCAGGGTCTTGGCATTTACTATTCCCTCTCCTAGAAAACTCTTGCCCCTAGTTTTATTTTTCCCCCTAATTCATTCAATACCTTCTGAATCTCAATACATACTCCCCCTACTCCACTTTATTTTTCTTCATAGTTTTATCACCAACCAACACTATATTATACATTTAGGTTTTGCTTAATGTTTATCTCACCTACCAGAATACAAGAATACTTCTAATCCAGAAGATCAAGAATTTAGTCTATTTTGTTCACTGTTACATTTCTAAGTGATTTCTGGCACATTGTATGGGCTCCATAAATGCTTATTAAATGAAATAAACTGAATAATGAAAAAGTACTATTAATAAAATCCAAATAACAAATTTGCTGAACTTCAAGTAAAAACCAAACCATGTCCCAAATTTCAAAAATGCCAAAAGACAATGGATAATATCAACATTTTAGGAATATCACCAAATTAAGATACAAAATATTCTAAAGAGAAAAAGGAGGGTTATGATATTAAAGTACTTACACAGTTATATTTTAGAGGCACTTCTAAATATATTTTTTAAGAATTGAGTTGTGCTTTTTTTTTTTTTAAGATTTTTATTTATTTATTTGGCAGAGAGAAAGACAGCGAGAGGGGGAACACAAGCAGGGGGAGTGGGAGAGGGAGAAGCAGGCTTCCTGGCTGAGCAGGGAGCCCAATGCGGAGCTCGATCCCAGAATCCTGGGATCATGACCTGAGCCGAAGGCAGACGCTTAACGACTGAGCCACCCAGGCGCCCCAAGATTGAGTTGTGTTTTAAGAATACAGAATACACAGTGTCTTTAACACATGAATCAAGCTAAAAACATAAAACAAACTTACATGCAAAACTTCCTAAACTAGTGTTTCTAAAAGTGTGGTCCATGGACCAAAGACTATCCACAAATGTTACCAGTGCCCAACAATGTAAATACAGAAATTGGAAACATTTAGAAACATTTACAGCAACTTGATATTGCTGCAACATCCAAGTGGGTAATCAGCAGACTTACTGAATAGGATATAGTACAGATCAGTTAGGGGTTATCAAATTTATGTGGTACTTCACACATGATGTGATTTGCACGTTCATCATGTGCATTAAGTACACATATTGGTCTGTGACAGACTGAAATTTTTTAAAAAACCGGTCCTTCACCACAAATACTTTGAGAAATACTGTTCTGAACCACGAGAGCTGTATTCACTTTGAATAAAAGAAATGCTATGAACCAAACTAGTCTATCAGAAATTTACCTTACAAACTATATCCAAAGTAGGCTCGTTAAAACACCCTTCATCACAGGATAACTTTTAAGACTTTCAAAATACTAAATACCAAACAGTTAATTAGAAACAAGATTTAATTTGTTTAAAAAAATAAAGCATATACCTATACTTATTCTATTTGGTGAAATAATTCTCAAACATGTAAAACTTTAAAATACCTTCCACCCAAATACTTTAAAAATCAACACCCTTCAAGAAAACAAGCTTCCTACACATACTACACAAATTAAAAAGCTTTGGAGAGTAGGAAGGGAGAAGCAAAATATGATTGTTTTATTCAGTTATTCCAGGTAAAGTTTTGGGCTTGTCAATTTCATCCCTAGTCTTTTCTTCAGCCTGTAAAAATCATGATGCACTCTATAGCATAATCAGTAGAAGCTGGGTTTTTCTGGAACCCCTTCCCAAAGAGGTTAACTAGTCAAATAACAATAGACTATAGTTTTGAGAGCTTCATCCAAAAGGCACAAAGATCTACATAGGACCGGACTCAGGATATAAGTTATTTTACGACCAAATAATAACATTAGTGGTGTTAGAGCTGTCATGTGATCTACCAAACTTAGATACCAAAAAAACTACACACCTCATATCGCGCTCCCCTCTACTCCACCTCTTTCCATTCTCCTAGGAGCTCCCTCCTAGGCTATTGTCCTAGCATCTGTTGCTTTCAATTTTTCCATTCTCCAATCTATTCTCCACATAGCCAACTTCCTGAAACAATAATCTGATCAAGTCATGCCTTCAGTGCAAAAAAGAGTCTAAACTGCTTATGATGGAATTCAAGGCTCACCATGGTTACAGCCTAAACCAATCTTTCCAGCTTCAGTTCAGTACCAGTCTTATTCTCTTGTTTACTATTGCATTAGCCTATTCGCTTTTTTCCAAATACCATGCCTTTTATTTTCCACACTATTTCCAATCCTTTTCTATTTCTACTATGAATGGTGGGGTTTGTAAACACCAGAATCTGGAGTATAGATTATGTTATCACCTTCAAACTAAATTTTCTTCCTAAAAAAAAGAAAAGGAGACGGGGGCAAGAGAAAAGAAGTAAGGACAGAGAAACACCAGCTGGATCAAACTACTTGCCATTCCTTAAATGTTTTGCATTTTCTCAGGCCTCCATATACTAACCCAACTATTTGCAATGTCCTTTCACCTTGCATACCTGGAATTGTGCATATCCATCTAGGCATTGCCTTGAATGCATGTATTTACTTATTTTCTCTCCCTTTCTCCTTGCAGGATAAAGACCATGTGTTACTTATCTTTGAATTTCTATTGCCTAGCATTGAAGCTGGCTCATAATGAGCAAACAAATATTTGTTGAATCAATCAATACATATAATGGCCCTGACTTTGTAGGCTACCTCTAACAAGATAGACAGAGAAACAGACAGACAAACAGATAGAATAAGAGGAGGAACATATTCAGAGATGGCTTTTAGAATATGGTAATAATTCTATTTCTTGGCCTAGGAGATGGTACAGTGAAGTTCATTTTATTATAGTTCTTTTTTTCACTGTACCATTTTTGAACATACAGTATTCTACTCTTACCCCTCCACCCATTTCTCAAATGTAATCAGATAAACAATCCATAATATATATTAAAGTTCTTTAAACATATAGTTTTTCTTACTCTTTTATATATATATTATATTTCACAATAAAAAATTAAAAATCAATCAACTGAATGCTACTAGCATAATAAACTGTAAGAGTACTTACCTCACTTTGTGGCTCCTGGATAACTTTATACAGAGATGAGACTAAAGAACTCTTGTCTTTCAAATTTGTGGCATAATTTGATAAAGATGTTTCTGGTAGTGTCTAAACAAATTAAAAAAAAAAAAAAGATTTTATTTTTATGAAATGTCCTGAATAAGCAAACCCATAAACAGAAAGTATATCAGTTGTTGCCAGAGATTGGGGGGAGGGGGAATTGTGAGTGACTAATAGGTATGGAGTTTCTTTCTGGTGTGATGGAATCAGATGCTGGTGTTAGTTGCACAACATTGTGGCTATACCAAAACCCACTATATTTTCCCTCTAAAACAATGAATTTTATGTCATGTGAATTATATCTCAACAAAAAATATATTTAATTTTCTTATCATCAACAGGGATACAAATTAACATTAACATTTCAACTTTCAGGTTAGAAATAGGATACAAAACATGTGTAAAGCCAGATACATATTTTTTGTAGCATTATATAAGTTACAAATCTCATTAATGGTATTGATCTTATTTCTTAATAAACATGTTGTATAAGGATCGAATAACATTTCAAACCTTAAAGCCACAGATCATCTATCAAAGTAACTCCTGAGTTACATATAGTGACTATTAAGTTAGGAATTGGGGGCAAATTTTAGACTTCTCAGAACTGGAGAAAAAGAGAGCCACACTACCAACAAACTAGTTTTCCTAATGCCACTTAAAATATGGACAGCTTGCCAGCACCATCCATTCAGAAAAGACACCAGGACCAGAGATAAAACTCCAGTCAGACAGTTTTGGGTAAAAGTAGTAGGGAAATCTGAAAAAAAAAAACAACAACCAAAAACAAAACACTTCATTATAACAAATGATAAAAACATACCCTTCTAGAGTATATCCCTTTCTTAATATCTGTCTCCGAGTCATTATTTTTTCTCATGCAAATTACTTCAATCAACAAATATTAACCCTGCAGTAGATATAATATCTCAAGATATTGCTAACAGTCATTCCAAGATATACACTATTTCTTACATGTCCCATCTCCTAGTATTTTGTAATTTAAAACAGTTATGGTTAATGTACATAGGTGTACATGTGCATAAACAGACACAGAAAATTAAACAGCATAAATGTTTATGCTAAGGATATATGATTCATTTTTACTTTACCATGAGCTCCTTAAGGGCAAGAACTATCTTATCATCTCTCCATCCATGGCACTCAGCATAAGGCCTCATACTCAAACCTTTGCTGAAGGGATTTATTAGAGATGAACAGAATAAGAAATAAACACTGCCACTGTTTACACTTCAGTAGATTCTTTAAAAATAGGTCACATTTCATCGTAAGATATATAATTGAATAGATTCTTTTTTTAAGTCAATAAGATAGTTTCATTTACCAGAATGGTAAGTAAATGTGAACTATCTGGAAAACTTCCACCATTCTCCAGAGTAAAAAAAAAAGTTGCATTGCAACTGCTTACTAAAGAGGAGATTAGGGCATTCTTCAATATTTCAAAAGCATGTAACAAAAGATCTCCAGGCAACATTTCATTTCCATTATTTGATCAAGAGTAACCTAAGACTAGGGGAATTTATATAAAAGGGAATTATGGTCAAATAAACAACAGATTTTTAACTCCCTGAATGGAAATGAACCTGACTTATATATAAAACACACTATTACGTGTGTGTGTGTGGGCGTGTGTTTGTGTGTGTGTCTAACTAGAAAATTTAAAACTAAGTGAATTGAAATATAAATCTTAAAAAAATGATTAGTGAATAGAAAGATTATTATAATATTACATATACTATGTAGGCTAAAACCATAACATTCATTAAAAATATGAATTACAGGGGTGCTTGGGGGGCTCAGTTGGTTAAGCGTCTGCCTTCAGCTCAGGTCATGATCCCAGGGTCCTGGGATGGAGCCCCAGGATGGGCTCCCTGCTCAGCGGGAAGCCTCCTCTCTTTCCTCCCCGCTCGTGCTCTCTCATACTATCTCTGTCACTATCTGTCTCTCTCTCTCTCACATAAATAAATGAAATCTTTTTTAAAATGTGAATTACAATTTTCAGTTTATGTACCAATTAACCCTCATGAGGTGAAATATTTTCTGTGAAACAGCCTGAAGGCAAAAGAATAGCTCTTCTCTGAAAATACCTGGGCCTAGGACACTATGCTGCTAAATTTGAGGAAGGGTCTTCTAAAAATTAGTGCAGAATTCTGTCATTATTTCATTTTGCAAATGTGGGAAAAGACACTTTTGTCTATAGAAGGGGAGAAAATACAATTGCTGTGTTTATGAACAGTGCTTTGAAAAACTTAAGATCTAACAGAGCCTCATGGATTTAAATACTATTAGAGCAAACCTTTGCATTTCTTGCACTGTACTAGTTCAAAGGCACTGGCCTTCTTAAATACCAGCTAAGCTTTCTAACTTTTCAGAAGGCAGAACTGGAGACAAAAATAATAATAATAATAATGGGAAATTAGTCTTGGCAAAATTTGAAGAAGGCAGATGCTTCATACTAAAGTATCATTTGGCAGATGGCTTTTTAAAAATGTAAGGAGGTGATATGGGTTGGGTAGAAGAGAATTAATGAAGACAGACAGATGGATAGAGAACCGATAAATAAAACAACTCTATTCAATATCATACATATATTAGATTTTAAGATTCAGTGATTACCAGAAAATTGAAAAAATTAGGAGTCTAGAAATCTGCTAGATAAATCTACACAAAACATTAAGAAAAACACAATACAATCTGAAAGATAATACTTTACAAATACATCTTTGAAAAGATAGAAACTGAGGGGTGCCTGGGTGGCTCAGTTGGTTGAGCAGCCAGCTCTTGGTTTCAGCTCATCTCATGATCTCAGGGTCCTGGGATTGAGCCCTTTGTCCAGCTCTGCACACCCACAGAGTCTGCTTAAGAAATTCTCTCTCTCCCTCTCCCTCCCCCTCTGCCCCTCCCCCCGCTCATGCACATGGGCATGCTCTCTCTCTCTCTCTCTCTCTCTCAAATGAATAAATAAATAAAATCTAGGGGCACCTGGGTGGCTCAGTTGGTTGAGCATCTGACTCTTGGTTTCGGCTCAGGTCATGATCTCAGGGTCCTGGGGTCTAGCCCCCATCGGGCTCCCTGCTCAGCCAGGACTCTGCTTCTCCCTCTCTCCCTCCGCCCCTCCCCCCACTCATGCTCACTTTCTCTCTAACATAAGTAAATAAATCTTGAAAAAGATCTTGAAAAAAAAGAAACTGAACTATTAATGAAATCTTAAAATAATGAAGTCTCAAGTCTAATCACTTTGTTGGTATATGAAGAGAATACTAATGAGGGCCCACAGCTAGAGTAGATACGAATAGTTTTTCCAAAGGCAAAAAAAAAAAAAATTTTGCACACAACAAATTGTGTTGTCTTTGTGCATTTGTGAGCATGGTGAATGAAGTTATAGGGTTGGGAGTTCAGACTGCAACCCGGAACATTGTAGAACTAAAATCATCTTCACAGACCACCCACTTCACTCTTTCTGATGAGGATATTGAAACCTAAAAAAGTTAATGTGATTTTTCCAATATCATAAAACCACCTAGCAGAATAATTATGACTACATCAAAGGGTTTCTGAGTCCCTATGTGCTTGAACTACTTTGTCAATCTGATGATCTTATAGGCTTAATAGCACCATGGTTATCAAATTAAATAACGAAACAGAGGCTTCCCCCACCCACTTCTCTCCCTCAATCTCTCTCTCTCTATATATATTATATATTATTATATATTTGCATCCAAACTTCCTTTCTTAATTATTTTAGCCAAAACATGTAACTAACATCACAAATCATTTCAAAAGACAAGATACTCTAATTTTAAAAGTACTTAAAAGATATGTTCTCAAGCACTTTTCTACTTTCTTATTAGCCTTAATATGCTGCTGATTTTGCCTGATAAACTTAATCTCTTTATCAAACATAAACAGAGCTGAATTGAATTCAACACATATTAACACAATTCTGAATAACACTCAAAATAATTTTCAGGAATATTTACCAAATTAAACAAGGAATAGAAAATATCTTCTCTTTAGCTATAATGTAGACTTAACAATAATTTAAAACATTCATTATATTAAATTGATTGAAAATTGGGCAAATTTAGGGGGTGCCTGGATTAAGCATCTGCCTTTGGCTCAGGTCATGATCCCAGAGTCCTGGGATCAAGCCGCAGGATGGGCTTCCTGCTCAGCAGGAAGCCTGCTTCTTCCTCTCCCTTTGCCCCTCCCCCAGCACATGCTCTCTCTCAAATAAATAAAATCTTAAAAAAAAAAAAAAAAGAAGAAAATTGGGTAAATTTAATCTTGGGGGGTTAGAAAAAAATTAAATTATTTTTTAATTCATGTGGCCCAGGATTTCACTCCCCTTCTCCCAATGGAAAAGTTTCCTTATCCTTGACTTAATCTTATAAAAATTTTGATAAAATAGTGCTACCCACATAATATATGTTATATTGCTAAAATATTATTTAGATAATACTTTATTCACATCCTAGTTTCTTTTAGTGGAAGACGGCATTTAGAAAACAAGATCTGGGTGCATGGTGTACTCATTACTACCAGGGTGTCATTGTTCCTCGGCCCTCCCAGGGAATAAAGCTGGGAAATATATGGATACATGTATGTACAGTTTTACATGTATAACTTAATCGGATATATATTTAAATCCATGAGTTCATACTGATTCTTTCAATTCTAATGAACACCTTAGCATTCTTTCTTGCTTTCCTCATTCCATGTTTCTAATTCCTTTCTCGGACACAGAGAAACTTAACTCCCATTATCATCCTCCATGTATTTACTTATTTACTCAAAGTAGCCAACCTACCAATGTAACCACTCTAGTTGAGTCTTCTGCATGTCACCTCTGCAACCCTCTGCCCAACTACCCACTTCCTCAAACACTAGGGCATATTTTTGCCCATACTACTTACTGCACTGCCCCCTTACCCTTCACTGCTACACTGCTAGGGTGCTACATATCCAAGCCAGGAGAGAAAGGGAATAAACAAACAGACAGGAAGATAAGGGAATCAGTCATGATTTTCAATTATTTGCCTTAATAGTTGCCCCTTCCCCCATCCTTTAACATGCCCTCTTTCCACAACTCCCATACTAAAAAATGGCTAACTGGCTGGCTATAATTGTTTTTGCAAATTTTACTTCACTAGTAAACATAACAATGCCCTAGAAGTAGTACTCAACTCTTAAACTCGACAATTTCCATCAACCTGTCAAAAAAATCATGATGGGGCGCCTGGGTGGCTCAATCGGTGAAGCGTCTGCCTTCGGCTCAGGTCATGATCCCAGGGTCCTGGGATCGAGTCCCATGTCCGGCTCCTTGCTCAGAGGGGAGTCTGCTTCTCCCTCTACTCCTCTCCCCTTTTGTGCTCTCTCTCTCTCTCAAATAAATAAATAAAATATTTTTTTAAAAAAATCATGATAGAATGAACCATGTTAAACACTGCTGAAGCAAAAAAAAAGCTTAAAAACACCTCGAACACTTACAAAAACAACATATGCAGAATGTTTAATCAAATTATTAAAATATGTAGAAGGCACTATATACAGTACACTTTTATAAGATTCTATATCACTTTTTGATGACTTAGAGGATCTGTAGGATACTCAACTCATGACTATAATAACTGACAAAGTGAAAATCTGCCCAGCCATTTGTCAGGATGAGATAATAATGACTGATAAGGCCAGCTGCAAAATTAACAGGAAACATTGCTTCTCTCAAGGACACACTCCAGCTGAAGTTTCAGAACAACCTCCCTTTTTGAGTGACTAACTGTATTCTTATTCACTGAGAAGTCTTGTTATCTAAAATCACAGATATCAAAAACTTGGCTGTATAAACATATATCAGAAAGAATGAAACATCCCACTCTTGCCTGGAGGATCTAAGTCACCTTGACACAGAGAAGCAGGCTTGATTTCCAACCAAGGTGCAGAGCCAGAGCTTCAGATAAGGGGTTTCTGAGCACAACATTCTACATAGATGTTAACTTTGTAGTTTCCAAGACAACATGACCCTGGGTCCACTTTGAAGTCCACACCAGATTTTGACTCCATTACACACAGCTCTGCTTTGTTTTGAGCCCATAAAAATACTGCTTCATTTAAATTTCATCTAAACTTCACCTTTCCTCCAAATCCTATAATTTTATCTTTTCCTTTGTTTGGTGAGATACCCATACAGTGCCTGTTGTGTAGTCTCCCTCTTTGAAACAAGCCAGTAAGTCTGACTTTGTCAGACTATACATTTGTCCCTGAAAGTTGTGGGCTGATTAGGCTGGACCAAAAAGTGACAGTTGCAGCCCAAACCCTTCATTCCTACGGTTCATGATCATGAAGTTCACATAATTATGTGTAACAAGACCTAGAGGACAAGGAGAAGGTAATTAACTGGTTAAAGAATACAATTTTAGGGGTCCCTGGGTGGCTCAGTTGGTTAAGGGTTCGACTCTTGATATTAGCTCAGTCATGATCTCAGGGTTGTAAAATAGAGCTCCCTGTCAGGCTCCTCACTGGGCATGGAGCCTGCTTAAAGTTCTCTCTCTCCTTCCCCTTCCCTCTGCACCCCCCTGCAAAAAAAGAAGACAATTTTAGCTATTACAGAGAAAAGTTCACAAGAAAGAAAGCCAGTTAAAGATGGATCCATTGGTAGAAAGGTGGGCAAATATCTTCCCATCTTCTCCCATTGTTGATCATACCCACTCCCATTGCCCTCCAAATTGGGAGAAACATTTCAACACAATCTTTGATGGCTGGAGAGGGTAACATTAGCATTCAGAAACTTTAACCATTCTTTGTGGGGTTGCTATGAAAAGGAGAAAACAAACTCTTTTAATCACTTGGGAGAAAAAAAGGAATTTATTTCCTGGAAAGAATTACTATGTGTAAATAATTCCTTATTAAGATTTATTGGAATATATTTCTGCTTCCAAAGATACTTAGCCTTTCAGTCATAAAAAAACAAAAATTATAAAATATAGTAAAATAAAAATTTAAAAAGAGCCACTGGGATTTAAACCCCAAGCAAAACTTCTTTGGAATATAATTATTATATTGAAACAGTAAATATTACCTTAAACTCTGACAACCATTCCTCCACAGCCCCTTTCTCTGAAGTGAACATCTTTCCACATCTGTTCTAGACCTTCGACCTGAAAGTTAACATAGGAAAATGTTAAAATTTTGAATATATATTATAGTCAGATTACTATGAATAGAACTAATCCTATAAAATTTAGTTACTTCTTATTTGTGAAATTAAAGCAGTTTCAAACATAAATTACTAGGCTCATTTCAAAACATTGTGCACAAACAAGCATTCAAAAGCAAGAATTTTAATAAAAGTATAAATACCATAACATAGTGAAATTGGCTCTGCAATTTTCATTCAGCTTTTAGGACTGCCAGCTGCAAAACCTACTGAACACTTTCCCCTAGTTTCAATGAAATAATTCCAAAATATCATGCTTCGCAAGAAAACTGCAGAAAATATTTTAAAACTGTAAAAATATAAAAAGACATGCTACAAAATTGACTTTTAGAAAGCATTTAAGAATTCAATTTGCTTATATTTTGATTCTTTACAATCTATTTAGACAAGCCACTTGGTTCCCTGAAAGCTTAATACTTATAAAGAGTGAAAATGATAATATTCAAGATAATGATCATATTCAACAACAGTTATTCAGAAGACTGGGATTTAGTTAAGTAAAAATAAAAAAAAAAAGGAAGCTAAAGAAAATGCAAAACAAATTTATCTCAAGCAAAATTTTTGTGAACGTACAATGTAATTTTCTTCACTCATCTGTATGAGAGGAGACCTAAAAACTGTTTCTTGAAGGAAAACCTTAGCTCTATCTGAATTTACTAACCTCCTAACTCAGCCACAAATCCTGCATTGGGCTTCTTAATTTTCATCAGCTTTATAGTGTAGTAGAAAGAGAGGCATAATTGCCAGAAACAGAATCCTGATTCTATTACTTATTTGTAGTATAACCTTGGGCAACTTATTTACCTTACTTTTTTCCTCTGTGAAATACAGATAGCCACAGCACCTGCTTTCAGGGGGTTATTGTGAGGATTAAATTAAAAAATGCAAATAAAAGCACTTATTACAGTACCTGGCAGTAAGTTTTAATACTATCCAATATTATTATTGAAGAATATCAACTCATATAGCCTCTGCTCAGCTGACTATCAAAGCATACAGATATGTCTTAATGAACAACACAGGTTCTTGCCAAAGAATATACTCTAAAAACATGGTTAAAAAAATGAAGAAAAAAATAAAACCATGGTTAAGAAAAATATGTGTATACACACACAGATTTTCATTCATTCATTAAGAATTGAGAGATATGCGTGTTATTTTTTTAGAATAGAAAATAGCCCATTTATTTTTTAATCCAAATTTTATCCTTGAGTCAAGTCAAACCATCAAAAACACATATGTGTACCATACTACTGATTTTATAGAACTGTCCATTCAAATAAACTGGGCTTTGGAACTGTGTCCCAAATGTTACTGAAAATCCTGCTAGATCACATGTTACCACCTTTAAAATCCAAAAGAGGAGGGTGCCTGGGTGGCTCAGTTGGTTAAGCAACTGCCTTCGGCTCAGGTCATGATCCTGGAGTCCCAGGATCGAGTCCCACATCGGGCTCCCTGCTCGGCAGGGAGTCTGCTTCTCCCTCTGACCCTCCTCCCTCTCTCACTCCCTCTCATGCTCTCTGTCTCTCGTTCTCTCTCTCGCAAATAAATAAAATCTTTAAAAAAAAATTTTTTTTAATAAATAAATAAATAAATAAAATCCAAAAGAGGAGAAAATTCACATGTTCAGTTTTCACCACCAGGAAAAACCTCTCCTTTAGAGTAACTGATTCTCTTTGCTTCGATTCTAATAAAATGGGAGTCACAGTTTCTGTCCTAACTCTATACACAAAAAAGCAGGCCTGAATTAATCCTTTTTCTTGTTTCATATTATACTTATTCTTATTTTCTTTCTGCCTGGATCTACTTTTAAAAATTTTATTTATTTATTTATTTGAGAGAGAGAGAGAGCATGAGTTGGCGGGGGAGGGGGTGGTAAAGACGGAGGAACAGGGAGAGGGACAAACAGATTCCTAGGCCGAGTGGAGCCTGATGCGGGGCTCGATCCTAGGACCCTGAGATCATGACCTGAGCCAAAGTCAGGCACTTAACCAACTGAGCCACCCAGGTGCCCCTGGATCTACTTATGTTTATCTTGTTGTATTATACTTATTTGTGAAGCAAAATGAAGCAAAGTAAATATAAATGCAAAGAAGAGTTTCTTTTTTTAACTTATCCATTTTTTATCTAGTAGGACAGAAAATTATCACAAATAAAACCATGCTACATCAAATTACAGAGAATTGGGGAAGGTAACATTTTTACAAAAATTCAAAATAATTCCCTAGTTAAAATTAAGACTAATTTTTAAAAGGTTAAAAGGAATCAAGAGGGATGTGCAAAGGATCAAGAATAGTCAAAGCAATCTTGAAGAACAGCAGAGCTACAGGACTTGAACTTCTAAATATCAAGATTTACTACAAAACTTATCAAACATCATAGTAGTTAAGCCAGTGTGGTATTATCATGAGGGCCAAAAAAAATGAAACGGAGTAGCCAGAAACAGACTTACAGATATATTAGTCACCTGATTTATGATGAAAGTGACACTGTAATTCAGTAGGGAAAGAACAGTCTTTAAATTAAATGATGCTAAGTCAATGGACAGCGACTGGGGTGGAAGGTGGGGAAAGAACCACGACCTACTAGTTCACACCATGTGCAAAAATCAGTTCCATGGATCCATAGATTTAAGTGAAAAAGGTAAAAAAGCATTTGGAAGAAAACATAAGAGAATACCTTCATAACCTTGGAGTACGCTAAGGTTTCTTAAACAAGAGGCACAAAAGCACTAATCATAAGACAGTTAAAAAAATAAATTGGACTTCATTAAAAGTAAGAACTTCTATCTGCCAACAGATGAATGGATAAAGAAAATGTAGCACACAACAGAATATTATTCAGCCTTAAAAAGAAGGCAATTCTGCCATTTGTGACAACATGGATGAACCTAGAGGATATTATGCTAAGTGAAATAAGCCAGACACAGAAAGACAAATACTGCAAGATCTCACTTATATGTAGAATCTAAAAGAGTCAAACTCATAGTTAACAGAGAGTAAAAGGGTGGTTTCCAGGGGCTGGGAGGTAGGGGCAATGGGGAGATGTTGGTCAAAAGGTATAAACTTTCAGTCATAAGATGAATAAGTTCTGGAGATCTAATGTAAATACAGCATGGTAACTACAGTTGAAAACATATACTTGAAATTTGCTGAGAGAGTAGATCTTAAGTGTTCTCACCACACACACACACAAAGATAACTATGTAAGGTGATGGATATATTAATGAGCTTGATTGTGGCATATCAAACCATCATTTATACCTTAAATATATACAACTTTTATTTGTCAATCATACCTCAATAAAGCTGGGGGGAGGGGGAAGGAAGAACTTTTATTCATCAAAAGTTACCATTAAGAGAATGAAAAGGCAAAGCCACAGGGTCAGAAAAGATATTTGCATTTCATATATCTGACAAGAGCTTCATATCCAAAACATACACAGAACTCACATTAGTAAGAAAAAGGCAGACAATCCCAATAGGAAAAACTTACCCAAATGGAAACCTAACATATGAAAGGTGTTCAACATTGTTAGTCAATTAAAACCCACAATTAAATACCATACACACACACACACACACACACACACTTGCAAGTGTGGCTAGAATGAATGGCAAATAATACCAAGCATTGAAAAAGGTACGGAGCAAACGGAATATTCATACATGCTGGTGTGGATATAAACTGGTACAATATCTTGGAAAATGCTTTGGCAATATCTTCTAAACTTGAACACATTCATGTGCCATAGACATAGCAATTCCACCCATAAAAAATACACCATACAGAAACATGGATATATGTTTTCTGAAAGATGTGCTTAAGAATTTCCATAGCAACAGGTTTTGTAAATAGTTAAAAAGTAGAAACAAAGCAAATGTTCATCAAGAGTAGAATGGATAAATTATGGTACACTGTACATGGAGTTCTATACAACAATGACAATAAACTATAATTATATCAATATCACAATGTTGGGGAAAAGGAGGCAGAAAAAGAGTGTATACTCTATAATTACATTTGCATACACTTCAATAACAGGCAAAATTAATAAATTGTGTTGAAAGTTAGGATAATGGTTGCCCTTGAGGGAGTTACTTTTTTGGGTTCTAGTAATATTCTGCTTCTTGATGTAGGGGCCGGTTACACAGGTGTGTTCATTTGGTGAAAATTCACCAAACTCCACACTGATTTGTGCATTTTTCTGTGTGTATATTATACAGTAGTAACACCAGACAGCCCCAGGGCTCTTATCTTCCACTTTACAGAGATCATATGGGAGCCCTCAATTGCATAGCTGAGTTAATCTGAATACTCACTTGTTTAGCATGCATTCAAGCTCAAGCAAAATTGTCCCTGCCCATACCTCTTTGCCTTCTTCTGCAGAGCTCAAAAGAAAGGCTTAAAAATACCTCCCTACCCTTGAAACTTTCACAGCCTCACCACCACTATCTGCTTCAGGTCTACCAAGACCAAAGTCATCATTCCCTTCATCTCTGATCCCTGTTTATGTCGGGCACCACAAGAAACTACAGCTCCAGGTTACACTCAGCCCTCACACACTAATCTTCATAACTCTTACACACTCTCTATTTTACCCTCATCTCCTATCCCACCCAAATTCTGGAAGGAGGTTTTTTCACTGTGCCTTCTGAAACTGACAATCTGTTAGCAGCAAAATCCTCTATGTCCTCAACAATTCTCTGAATGTCTTTTTCCTCTCGTTCTAATATGAAACCCAGTTCTTCTCTGAAGACAGTTTTCCCTGTGATCTTCTCACAGTGACTGCTTTTCCTCACATAGCCCCAGAAGTAACCACTGAGCCTGGAGGTAAAGTAAGAGTCCTCCTTCCTCCTTATTATCATTTCAAATCATTCTTCCTCTCTCTTTTCAAACCATCCACCCAACATTGCTTTGAAACTCATGTAGCTGTCATCT